TGAACCACAGCAGCGAAAATCTAGGGACAGTGACAAGTTGCACGCTCCAGATGGGAATTATATAGAAGATGCAGAGCCTTCTGAATTTGAAAGCAGACCAACTAATTCATCTATTCCAAAGATGCACAGTAATGCTAGTTCCACAGACAGGGCTAGTGCCCACTATTATTGCAGAGAATGGCGTTCTGATGAACACAGTCGAAAGCGTTACGGTGGCTCCGTTACTTCGTCCATGTCCACAGTTCCCATACCATTACTACATTCTGCACTTAACCGTCAAGGGTCCTTAGCTCAGTCTGCCCATAGACCAGCATCCTCAACAAACAGGAGCGCAGCAACAGTTTCTCCACAAACACTGAATTTGGATGGCAGTTCAAAATTCAGTATGCATGCACCTTTGTGTTTTTTGCGCAATAGGGACTGTCTGTCTACTCCAGGAAGTTCTGATGTTCCACCGCCTCTTCACAGTATACCTGAAGACAGCAGCTTACTGGAAGCTAGTATCAGAGACAGTTTAAACACTTCATCTCCCAGTGGTGCCTCACACGATGGCGAGAGCTTACAAAATTCACTTAGTTCTTTATCTCTAGATTCTTCCAGCCCATCTTTGTTTCAGACAAGATTCGCTCCAGATCTCCAGGCAGCTTCTGCTTTGTATGATCAGTTGCCATTTGCTTTGCCAGCAGCACTGGCGTTACAAAATTTAAGTAGCACCGTGAGCAACACGACCGCCTCCCAGTCAGCGAGCACAGAGGAAGTGAAGAAGCCACAGGCAGATCAAGAGAAACTTAAACAACTGCAGGAAAGGTGAGGAATACATTGAATGTGTGTGCAAGCTCTACAGTGTATAAACACATGGCAGCTAGAGCATGAATTCCTCTTTCAAGTTCTCTATACGGTTGGAAACGTACAAAAAGAAAGTTCATAGTTCTTCCAGCTGCGTTTCAGTCTTTATCAGCTATTCATGACAGCCCTGACTTTTAGTAGGTGGGGCATGCCAGTATTAAAGTGGTTACAGTTGTCATTCACTGGAGACACTGAGAACTACTCAGTGAAGAGGATGGCGTTTGCCTCACAATACTTCTTCTACCAGTCACACACACACGCTTGCTTTATTCCTGAAGAACGTTAGCAAGTATTGCTGAAGCTTTTTGGGCAGTGACATGAGATACTTGTGGTTTTACTGTTACCAAGTTGGAGGCAAAAATAGATTCCTCAATGTGACAGAGCCCACCACAATCCACAAGTGTGCTCTTTCAGCACTGGTATACATGGTAGTGAGAGACAGTCCTAAAACTTGCTGCTTTGTTCCTCTGTAGGGCTTGTGCCTTTGGGATAGATCCTGTTTAACCAGCACCAAGTCCTTTTACACTCAGCTGCTTTGTGTATTTCATCCATAATCAAAAGTTCAAGTTTTAAGAGGCACAGCTTTGTTTGACAGAGTTATTTTTAAGTGTTTGCTTGTCCTGTTTTCTATCTGTGGTGTAAATAGACTAATTTCTTCGACTGCAGAGACTTTCAAATAAAGGCAGAATGGAGGAGCAATAGGTTTCCCTGCTGCTCATTGTAATCAGCAAGCTGCTCGCTCTGTCTCAAGAAACTGCTTAAGCAATTAGACTCAGAGAGGTTACCAAGAAAAACATTTCTGTTGTCAGCTTCCTTAGAAATAAACCAGCTGTCTCTATTTTGAAGTTTGTCACTTATCCCAGGGAACATAGCAGTCAGTCAGCCAGAAGTTTCAGACTGGAACTTTTTTTTTTTAATTAAGGAAAGTCAGAACTACAGGTGCCATACTATGTGGAGGTAACATTCAGAATGAAATGGACAGCTACAGGTTTTTCCAGCTTTGCACTAAAAGGCTGTAAATACTCATCTAAACAGGTCTCCAGCCTGTCAGCCAGAAGCCTTTTCCTTCCTTCCCAAAGGAAAACATTTGGGCAAACCAAACCACAGCTAGAAGGGGATGGAAAAGAGGGGAGGAATCCATTCTGTTGGTGAGGTTAACTTGGAGAGTCTTATTTTCTGAGGTATCATGTATGTAGCATGGAGGGCTATTAGTAGATGGTCAAAATTAAGGACAGAGATGAAGCTCCATGTGGCTAGGGTTTAAGTGCGTTAAGAAGGGAGACGATAATAAGTTTGGTTTGATTTTTCATATTCAGATATTCATTTTACAGAATTAGTTGATCTAGAGTGAAATCCAAGGCTCATGTTTTTCCGGTTCAGAATTCTACTTACTAAAGAGAAACCCAATTTAGACATCAAATTTCATGCAAAAAGTGTTAAATTACAATCAGTAAGTAGTTTGCTTGCTTTCATCCATCATTCATAATTAGAAAGTCTTTAAAATTGTTTGTTATATAACATTTTTTCTTGATTAAAATATCACTCTTAACCAAGAAATAAACTCTCCCTGCACCACCACAAGTCTAGAAAGGCTTCTAGAAAGAAAGGGCATAGGACAAATATTTAAAATATGCATGCAGTACCAGCACAACTTAGGGAAGAGAGTATTCAGCAGAAGCATATCCCTCATGCTTCAAATACAGTATTCAACCACCCCCATTCTTCTCAAAGAAGAGTGGCTGGATAATTCTCAACAACAAAACGTCAGAGGTTGATTACACAAAAGCATGGAAAGGATTTAGAGACTATAACGTTTTCCCTTTGCCCAATTACCAGCTTTAAGAAACACATTAATCCCAGACTGTTGTGTATTATACTTTCAGGTCACCATCATTTAGTAGAAGTCCTTAGCAAAGTCTCTCCAAATCCTAAAACATTAGTGCAAAGATACTGTCCATTATTTGACTCTAGACTTTGCTGAGAGAAGTTTTTCATTTATTCTGTTATGTCTTAATAGCGTCCTGGCAGAAGACTCGGGAGAAGAAGGAGATCAGTGTCGTATATGTCAGATTGCTGGGGGTTCTCCTACAAATCCACTGCTAGAGCCATGTGGCTGTGTGGGAAGCCTGCAGTTTGTTCATCAGAAATGTCTCAAAAAATGGCTCGAAGCCAAAATAAAGTCAGGTAAGCGAGAGAAAAAACCCACAAGATATAAAGCATTCTGTTGAGATGCCTCTGCCAGATTTACCTCTCAACTAGTTCCACTGCGCTAATGGAGTTAAACCAGGTGAAGTCTTAAATTTATCCTTGAATAAATTTAAAACTTCTAACTTGATCAGCATTGTAGTGTTCTCCTGTAGCGCAAGCATTCAGTGAAATAACCATAGATTAGGCTGCTGGCATGCAGTCAGCACATCACCATAACTAACAACTTAATTTTCTAGGGCATGGTTTAGATTAAAACAAGATCTCCGATATCCAGTGCTGAAAGATTTAATGAGCCAATCTACAGCAACTAGTAGCAGTATCAGGTGAACAGCAATTTTTTTTTTTTTAAGAGGTTGTAAACTGCACATGCAAGACTAATATGCAAGAGAAAGTTTGAATGAGAAATCCATAAAATGAGATGAAATATGTGAACTGTTTTAAGAATCCAGATAAGGAAGGGAGAAGGAATATAGGCAGGATGAATTTTAGCATTCAGGAAAGTGACTCCCAGGTAGAGAAAGGAGTCCTGTCAATTTTTGCTGTATTAAGTTCTTTTGCTTTCTCTCTCCCTTGTCAGTGCACTTTTTTTGCATGTAAGTACTATTCTTGCAATAGCATTTCTATTTCCACTCTGAATGAAGAGCATCAGTGATGTTATATTACTCTAAGTTATAAGTCAGGGAGCTACACATTTTCACAACATGGACCATTTCTTTATCAGGAAATTGAAGGTGATCACAACACAATTTGCTTTTTTTTTTTTAAAGATACATTTCTACAGTGTTCGTTAAGCACTTAAGTATGCTATGACTTCAGAAATTCCTAAGCCCATGGTATAATTTTAAACTTACTTCCCTTAAGTTTTTAAGAAGGCCAAGAAAAAAAGCCACCATTAGATAATAACCAGAGAATTAACCTCCAGAAAGACTGTACATAGATACATGATACATACACACACGCTAACCTAGTGTAGATTGTGTAAAATTCTGATCCTGTATGTGGGAAGATAATAGCTTATGCCAGCTTTGTTTCTTCAGTCTTAAGAGGCAGATGATATATCAGTTAAATCCTGTGTACTTGGTTCCCAGCCAGGCCTTGTTCATTTAAATTCCTGGCTTGCCCCCAACTTAGGGAAGTGAGTCACATTTCCCAAACCTTCCCCAAATCCTGTCCTCACAGAATAATTTAAGTTTCCCCTCAGCGCTACTTGAAAAACAGGGAAGCAAGCCTGTTTAGAGGGATAGAGGTTCAGAGCCTGTTCTTAGATAGTGTGAGAGCCAGAATGAGGAAAATAGGTGGTCTATTAAGTAATGAAAGAACTAATTGGGATAGCATCCTAAGCATGCTTGAGGCATATGAATCTTAACAGGCAGAAGTTCTGCTTCTGGTCATTGAAATGTGTGTGCTGGGGGGGAGGCAGGGCAGGGGGACTGCTTTTTAAAGTAGGCCATCTGTGTACATCAAATATAGGTTTTTTTTCCCCCCTCAGCACTTAAAATTTAAGTTTTTTTTTTTTTAAATCTTCCTTTGGAAGAAAGGAGGTAGGAAGAATCAGTAGTTTATAGGGTGGGAGCATACACTTTTTGATGGCAGACAAATTAAATTTATTATTGCCTTAAAAATAACAAGCAGAAGACAAGTAAACAACTCTAGCTAATTTCTTGACTTTGTTGTAGTGACCAGGTCTTAAACATAGAGGTTTATATATGGAATCCATTATTACTTCTTTCATCAGTTTGGTTCATGATTCCTGAAGTTTTAGTCCACAAAAGCTACACATTTTCTGGTTTAAAAGCAAACAAAAAAATCCAGAACAGTCACACACGATGCAGAACTTAACAGAAGACTGCTCTAATTATCTCCACTATTACATAGGCTTAGTATAAAAAAACTCATTGTTTTAAATGATTCAGCAGAACTCCAATTCAGAGTTATTAACCTCATATAGAAAGTGTCTTTAAAATAAAGTCTTCTCATTCTGATTTTAATATGCACAATGTAGTTTAAAGTCAAACATTTAATTCTTTATCTTATTGCAGGTGCTGATCTGGGGGCAATAGAGACATGCGAGCTGTGTAAGCAGAGCCTAACAATTGATCTGGACGATTTTAACGTAAATGAGTATTACAGAAACCACCACTACTCACAGGTAAGAAACTGCCTTTCTTCAAATAAGAGTCTGTAATCCTGTTTTGGTATTGCTGCCTTGCAATCTTTCAGTATGTAGTGAAATGCCAGCATCCACTGAAACCCGCTAAACTGTGAGGAAGAGATAGGCTTACTTATGAAGATTTCAAAAAAAAAAAAAGGAAAAAGACCTTATTCATTTTAGACTCAGATTGTATAATCTGAGAGCGTTTCATGGAACTGCCTAGTATCTGGAGGCTTTGCATAGAGAAAACCTGTAATCAAGTGTGGCAATGGAAAAATTCTTGTTTGTTATGTAGATACAACATTGCAGTAGAGAAGCCAACTGAGGGAGAGCAGCCAAGGATTTCATTGTTTGTCCTTCACAACATTATGTAAGAGGAGAAATTCAGCAAACTAAGTGACAGAAAAACTGAACATATCCCTCTTAGATTTTTTTTAAATAAGCTTTTTTAAAGAAATACAGGAATAAGAGACAGGAATATTGAAACTCCAAGTTTAATGATAGCCTATCCTATTTTCTGATAAACTAATCATACCAAAGTCAGAGGTATTGATTTTCATTATAGGGTGATGGTGGAGTTGAGGAAAGATATGAACCTGCCCAGCAACCAAGGAAAGCCTTCGTGGGGGGGAAAAAAAGGCTTCAAGACACTATTCTTAAACAACAATGAAGCAACAGAACTTGTACATTAAAATTCATGCGTTACCTTGACCCTAGGGAGTTCAAGTCAGACAGGACCCTGCTGTGCAAACCATAAGTAAATAAAATCTTAAGACACAGCCTTTTAGCAAATTGCAATAGAATTTGCTTTCCCCAGAAGTCTTGCAAATTTCTTGGCTTCCCTCTGAATTCCTGGTAGGATTCAGTCCCCAGTTCTGCACAGCTTTTATAGTGCTAGCAGTCAAGTAACAAGGCTCACATGCAAGCCAAACACATGCAGTTCAGTTTTGGAGCACTTTACAGAATTCAAATGGATGCCTGTATTAGAGCACAGTTTGATAATTCAGTGCATCACGCTTACACACTCCACACAAGGAGAAACTGCAAGGCTCATGGTTTTCCCCCAGGCTTTTTAAAAGTGGGATGAATTGCAAGGATGAGTAACTGCTGGAGTATTTAGATTAATTAAGCTTATAGGTTGTGTTTCTTCCTTGAGGTGGTTTATATTGTATTATACTGCTGTACTTTTAAGGTATTATTTGTGATGCATTTCTAGTGATGCCAGAAGCATCTAAAACATATGGTTAGATGCCCTTTTAGCATTTCTACTCATCTAAATAAATAATTCACTGTGCCAGAGTCTTTCCTATCAAGGAACAGGAGATGCACAATCTGGTAGAAATGTCTTTCTCAAATTATTTGCAGTAAACAGTGTATATTTCCCCATCTGCATCCCTTCAGGACTTACTTAGTCATAAAGAAAGTAAATGATCTCCCAGAATGCTTTGACAGAAGTGTTCACCAGCAAACTATTTTCTAGATGATTGATTTGCTACTATGCTGTAAACTGTATATGAACAGAAAGCCTTTTACTTAGGCTGGGATTATCAGACACTCATTGAAAACCTAAAGGAGAACAACATCATAGCTTGAGATAGTGAATCTCTGAAAGGAGTATGGAAATCTAGGGAAGAAGCATAGAGAGACATGTGACAGCTAGAAGAACAACTTGAAGAGAACTTGAAAACATGCTAAAACAAACAAACAAAAAAAAAAGGCCAACCCAGTAACATTCTTTCCCAGTTGTACCAGAAGCCCTAACTTTTGGGGAGGAGGGGGAAGAGTTGAAATCAGGTGTTTTGATCAAAGCCCTGAGGAGCAAGACAAACAAAATAACGGACGATGCTGCTGCCCGTTATAGGCTGACTGCTCCTGCCTCTTCTCGCTTACCGTTTTTTAAAAAAAGACAATGCTTTTCAGGAGTATTATTAGTAACCTTGAGGTAGTAGTCAGCAAGCTTGGTTATACATTTAACATCTAGTGTATGCATTCTGAAAGCAGAAAGCACTTGCACCAATCACATCCTCTTCTCTTTGTCATTTCCCCTCTCCTCCTCCCCCCCCACACAAACGCACATATGTACACACAATGCACAATTTTTCATCTCCAACCCATCAGTGGAATACAGCCATCTCCAGCTTGGAATAGTGGCTACTCTTCCAAGCCAACAATACTGTACAGTGTATTTACAAGGGAAATTATTAATTTCTATAGTTCTATTCACTATTGGCAGCTGGCACTTTAATTACAGAGACAAATGCAAACAAAACACTTGTTTGTCAAGTGCTAGGCAAAATAAGTGTTTTGTCCTGAGGGCTGATTAGATTCACTATAAAAAAAAATTAGAACTATGGAGTGGAAATCTGGGGAGGATGAATCAATTACCCTCAGTGGAATGTGGCCAGGATGCTGCGTTTTAATTTATGACAGTTACAAGTACCATGAAGCCTTCAGTACCTACAGGTGGTCAAGCTTTCTGGCTGCATCTCCTTGAGAGGTGAGACTTTTGGAGGCCTTTCATCTCCATTTCATGATCCATTTTAGAAAAACAATGCCATGTAGTTCTGCACCTGGTTCTCCACACTGCCAGGATTTTCCTTAGAGACCTTCCATCTAGGAAGGCAGAAAATTCACTCCTAATTTTTCATATTAGCGATGATTATCTACAGTAATAGCTGATCTAGATTAAAAAAAGAAAGCAGCCACCTCCTCCCAAAAACCACACACATACCGCAGCTCTGGATAACACAGAGTTTTAATTACACCTTATTTTCCTCTTTTAATTGTTGCTTGGTATTTGCCATTACTTTTGTCAAATCAGTACTTTACATTTGCTTTCTTCCTGATGAGCTATAGCAATCTTCATTAGCACTCTCCAGACTATGTCACATTTTTCTACTGTGACATACCTTGTTACATTCTGGACAGGTGTCATATTCACACAGTATTACATCCTATGCTCTGTTTTAGACAGGAGGCTAGACTAAATGTTTATCTTATTAAAAAAGAAAGAATGAAAGTTTTAGACCTAGGCAATTAATAAGCTATCATTTCAGTTACACTGGCAACCCTAAGTTTTCCCAGGCTAGTACTCAAAATTTGAGTCTTCACAATATGCTAGTAGCTGTGATCGCTGGTAGTCATAATGATGACCAAATAAAACGTGAAATAAAATAAAACTATGAAAATAATTCAGAATTAACAAGTGAATTACATTCACTAAGTCAGAGATACCTTACCCAGAGCCTTCTGGCCAAACAGAGCTCATATGCTACCTTGCTTTCTTTCTGAGGGTCTCAAATGTGGGACGAGAACAGCACCATGTTAAATTAATTAATTGTCCCCTCCTAGCCTCTTTCTTGAGGGCCCATCCCATTACATAGCTGACACAAAATGCAAAACCATGCAATACATATTGGGTCATGACAGGAACATACACGTGCATCTACAACTAAATGTTGCCTTTTATGTCCACGTGACAGAGCATCCTAGCTGCCCGTCAGGCAGTCCAGCCTGCAGTGCGCTTCCCTCACATGCATACTTAGCACATAACCACAGGGTACCTGCTTTTCAGTCATAATACAAGATATTGAACACAAGGATAAAAAGGTGTGAAGCTTATCCCCACCACTAGGTTGGCTATCACTAGTGCAACATAGCCTAAGACTGTAATAGGTTTTAGCATCCATATAGTTTAGTTCAGTTGTCAAGGTCAGTAGAAGTCACCTAGGGTGAAAAATACTGGTTTCTTTGTCTGTTTGTTTTGTTTTTCCTTTGTTTTTAAACATACAGGCACAGAATGAACTAACAAATCTCTATCTCGTGCTGCTTTTCATGTTTGGGAACTCATGAGACAGAGCTACAATCTGGCCACCAGAAACAGGGTAAGAAAAGTAACAAAGACAGCAACGCTTCCAGTTACCTTGTAGTTGTGTCTCATGCTCATTGCTTCCTTCTGCTGGTCGTGGCACAGCTTACTGTACCACTCATTGTCAAACTCTTCAAGCCATACAGAACTAGCAAAACATTCTCAAGCAGACCTTTCTTTTCAGAGGGCAGCCAATAAACTTTTATTGAGCTGCTTCTTTACAGGTGTAGACTGCACCTGATTCTAATGTCCTCCTTGATCTCCTAATACAAGGTCATTAATTTCCTTGTCTTCAAATTAGCTATACAGGTGTTTTCTTTTTGGCAGCTTGACAAAAGTCACCTGCGCTTACCCTACACAGAAATAATTTTCAGAAAAAACATTTTCTTGAAACGAGTTAAATGTTAAGATTTCAATTCTAGTAGTAAGACGCAGTGGAGTCACTGAATGCTGCATAAGGTAACTACTAGAAGCGTTGCAAAGAAATTGGAACTCTAGAAGAATTACATGACGTTTATTGATAAGGGTACACTTGTCACATCCATACTTTTTCGCAGAACTACTGCAGTGTTGATGCAGTGATGTAGCACCAGACACACTGATAGTGAGCCTTCCTTTGAGCACATTTGATTATAGTTGTACTGGCAAGAAGTAAGTATAGGATAAAGCACTCCTGAAATGAGGGAGGTCTCCTTTTTAGTTACCGCAGTGTTGCGTTTACAGCAGCTGTGAGCTCCCTTTGTCCTGTCTGTTCTTCCTCTCACCTTCCTGTACATCTTTATGGACTTTGGGAAACAGAGAATAGGTACCACTTGAAAAAAATCCCTGTACAAGGCTAAGTGACTTTAAAGCATAAACCCCATCTACTTTTATGGATACTTCTAGTTCTATCTGTAGGGGAGTGCACAGCAACCATACTCCCTGATCCAAGCCTTAAACTAAGCGTGAAAAAGAGTGTTTCTATGAGACCTTTTCGCTAGCACTCCTCCTTATGGTAAGCATCTCAACCATGTGAATGCTTTCTTCAGGTGCAGGTAAATGCTATTTCCATCATCTTGAGAGATTCTTCGTAATTCCACTCATTTCAAGCACGCAGACCAGAGGACTTTGAATGCATTTGTGGTGCTGTCATTTGCAACCAAGTCATGGGTCGGCACAATGGACGTGTCAAATTAAAATATATTTCTCTTGCCTTAGTGTGCTCCTCATGAATTGCAAAGCTGCAGATGAAGCTTTTCAGTTAATTCTCAGGCAAACTGTACATGAAAGTGGGACTGTGTTGTTGCAGTGCTCTCGGGAATGACATTTTTGATGTTTTTCAATTCATAGAGCATCGCTTCACTGGAGCATTATGAATGTATTTGAGCTGGTCTAAAAAAAGGTCACATCTATTGATCCAGTGGCTTGCTGCTTGTAGGTAGTCTGAAGACTTTTTTGTCGGTCTCATCTTGAAACTGTAGGAAGAGTGGCTTTCAGTCCTGACTGTCTTGAAGCTGGGAGGAATTTTAATTAGAAGCCAGTCTATGGGATACTGGATTCTTATGGTTCCTTTATAATCTTGCCATTTTGTCCAGTCCAATGTAAAATAATACTGACAATTAGTGGGTTTTCCTGGCTTAATTATAGCTGTGTTGTTAAAAACAAGACAAGGCAAAACGCATCGAAACAGAACAAAACAACAAAACAACCAACCTCACAGCTTTCCCCTGAGAAATATTAGTCCAAATGAGAAGCCGAAAAGTACAATAACATTTGCAGATGTAGTACATACACCACCTGGCTGTGGTGCATCAGAACCTGGCATTTCCACAAGCTACCTCGTATTTTAAGTATCTGTCATAGTAAATCATTTTAAAATGCTTCACATTCGCCATTCAAAAAGCTGAATGTAGCCACAGCGCCAGCTCAAGCCAGTGAAGAATTTTCCCTACCTCCAGAAATCAGGCAAAAGTGGTGGTGGTGGGTTAATCTCAGCAATTTTAGACTTCCCAGTAAGATGTCAACATCTAAACCAGTCGGGCACATTCTTGTAATAGTCTGTACAGAGGAAAAGGCAAGTTTGGAGTATGATTCATCTTACTTTCGGAAAGACGCCTTAAAGTGGTCACGTGAGCCTTGCTGCAGAGGTCCTTGTCTTTCGCTGTGGACTATGAAGGCATGACTAGGTTAGATGTAAATAACTATGTTGCAGAAATGAAGTGGAGCAGATGGGTCACAGTCAAGAGGCTTCATGTTGGTTACAGAAAAAGTGGACCAAAGGGTGTCACCTAAAATCACTGGCGAAACTATATAGGCAAAATTTTCAGCTTCTTAAAATTTGGGCTCAGATGCAACACACCAACTGGTGAGAGAATTAGGTATAGACTCTGTTACAGAAGGTTTGTCTATGTGGCACAGAGCGAGGAGCAGGACAGAAATACTGATTCCAGTTCCTGAAAAACCTCAATTATCTGCTAATGGCCTAGCATTACATGGTCAAATGTGCTCCAAATTAGTCCAGCTCCCTCTGCTATAAGATAATCCAAGCTCGTCTGGTGCGGGCTATTTGCTCCAAACTGAGGAAAAGTAGCACAGAATGCTGAAAATTTTTCTTTACCATAATTTTCCTTAAACCTTCAGCAGTTTAAGTGACAGCTTCAGTGTCAAATGATACACAGTTGCAGTAGTCAGAGGTTACAGATGGCCTTGTCAAAAACTGTCATAAGGAAGTCCGTGAGTAAGAGGCAAACATGAAAAAAAAAAACCACTTTCAAACACTTCAAAGGGAATTCTGAATTAAAACACAAACCCATGGGAGTAGTTCAGTGAAGCTTTTCAAAATCATTCATTAGGTAGTCATTCAAATATTTTGATATAGAATCATGCACGTTCATTTCTGAAATATGTGTACTTTTAGATAGCTGATTCAGCCTGCTTGATGTAAATGGACCATAGCAGTAAAAAGAAACTAGCAATCCACCAAAGGTGGCACAGAGGTAAAAAAAAAAAAAAAAAACATGCTGCATCAGTGATGGACAGTTAATAAGTGTTTGATCCCATTTGTTCAAAGATTTCCCATCAGAGCGCTTCTGCTATTGGGCTGCTCACATTGTTTAACCTTCCCTCCCATACAGGTCTGCATTAATATGCAGATGGGGATGGGGAACAGCAAGTGAAACACATGAGCTTCTGGCTGTGTGAGGTCTTTGAGCTTTGAAAACAATTCTGCTCCTTCCTCCAATGTCACTCTAAGTGCAAAGGGGCTACAGATACTTTCTATGCTCTAGGTGACATCCTGTGATGAAGAGACAGAAGACCTTTAGCTGAAATGACTGCACAGAGTTGCTTCAGCAATATGCCATGTTTTTGCTTCTTTCCTCTTTTAAAGTCTCAGCTCTGACGTGGAAATTGAAGATACCAAATCCAAATGCCAAACTCTCTCTCACACGCATCTCAGAAGAACATAGTACCCTTAGATTTGATTTCAATAATACTTCTGAAAGTTGGAGGGCTATGAGCATAAAATCACTGTTAAATCAGTATAAATGCCTGGAAGTGTAGCAGTTTTTCCCCATGTATAAATTTTATTTCTGAAGCCAACAAACTTGAAAAAAGATCAGAAATAATTAAAACTAAACTGCAACTTTAGATTTTCATAATGCTATCAATACTGTTGAAATCTAAAATTGATCTTAGGAGTAGCTGCTTAAATGCAACAAGTCTTTTAAAAATATAGTAAGGTATAAATGAATAGAGTAAACTTTTAACAGCACACCAGCTACTTGTTTACAAGAAGTCATTTTGCTATTAAGAGTAATCCAAAGCTTTACTTTATCTTAGTTATTAAGACTCTTGTAATTTCCTTAGTTGTGCTGTTTTTTAAGCATTTCCATGATTTGATTTTTTTAAAAAAAATTCTCTTTGCTATTTCTAGCTACATTAAATTGAATGTCTCATCAGTATTAATATGGAAAAGCTTTATTAATTTTTGTTGCATTTCTTCTAGCACTCAAGACAGCCTAGAGCAGAGGAAAATGAAAGTTGGGAGTTTAAAACTCACTTTTACAAAATTCTTGTTTAATTATTCTCGTTAAATGTGGAAGATCTCATGTGCTGGCAAGAGGGACTTAGATATAAAAGAGACACAGATTAAACATCCAAAAAGTGGGAGGAAAACATTCAGGATATTCAAGTTGCAGAAATTAGGAAAATGTACATGAGACCAAGTGTACAGTAAAGATATTTAATTGCATTTCCCCATAAAAACAATAAGAAGTGAAAAGAAAAAAAAATCGAGCGTACAAGTTCTATCCCTTGAGCCGTTCTCTAATTCTTTAGAAGACTACTGCATTGCAGCTCTGCTTTGTTACACATTTTTTGTGTTAGAACTCCTCCTAATTATTTGATTCAGTAAGATTTTAAGCTGCCTTTACTAGCATTTATGAGCTTTTTTGGAGCATCCAAAGAGAAGGTTGGTGACTTATTTGTTAAAGACTTTATTCCTTTAATAAGGCCTTTGTTTTTATCTAGTTTTGTTTTAACATAGTCACTGGCTTTTCTTTTCTTTGAACTGATCAGGAAATTCTACATACTCGTCCAGTTGTAAGAGAGAAATGCTAAGAGCAAGACATCGACATATGTAACACAGGGCAATCATTTTTTTAGATGTAATCACAAACTGTAAGAAAATGTTTTGCTTTTACTTGCAAAACAGTCTTGGATTCTGTGGGTTAGAAAATTGAGTGCTTACTCACGCAGCTGGTCCCTATGATGTCAAAGAGTACGTCTACATCAAATATGGAGGAGGAGCCTGAAGCTGTTTTCCAGACTAGATTCACTGTCTGAACAAACAGCAAATGGAAAACTAGTCCTTTGAGAAAGCTTACTGTATTTGTTTTTAGTGTCTCAAAGTTCAAGATCTAGAACCATGTTATATCTTTGGATTTTAGTGGTCAGCCCCACTGAGCTCAGAAGGCTATCAGAATAGAAACTGAAGGAAGCTGAGCCTCCTACTAAGCAGTGGAAAAAGAAATCCCCAATTTTAAGTTTTTTTACCTTATTTTACATTCCAGATAGGCGTTTTACAGAGGTGCTAGTACTACTGATTTAAAAAAAAAAAAAAAGTCTTCACCAGTCTGAAGCAGTCTTCGTTCTTCAACAAAGAAAAAAGCCTGTGTCTTTTTTTTCTAAATTGTGCCCCCTTTTTCCCACCCTTTCAAACTCATCTTCTCTTGGAGCTTTTCCCTAAATGTAACCATGAGTCATGACAAATACTGGATGTCTTCTTCATTCCTACAGCACTTTTAAGTTCATACATAGCAAGATCTACCCTGGAATACCTCCCATAAACAGTGTTTCCTTTTTTTGTTGCTTTTTAATGAATTAATGAGGAGGAAAGAACAATTTCAAATGGTACTTAAAATACTTATTTGAACTGCACATTGCTATCACCTGCTAAGTTAGGGATCATTCAGTTCATCTGAGAGTAACAGTTTACATTTATCCTTTGCCTTGTAATTGTGGAATTACTTCCTGCAAAGTTTCTAGTTACAACCTTGACTTTGACCTCTAAGTTATACTGTATACATCCATGACAAAGATATTTTTCTTTGTTTCAATTCTGATTTTGTAATGAGTATTTAAACAAAGTAAACATCATATTTAGAGAAGTTGTATAAATAATGATTATGAGCTCATAAGAGATTAACTCACCATTTGTGATATAAATGCTTGCTGCCTTGCATTACAGAATAGGGACTCAAAGGCCAATAGGAAGGACTTTTTATTTATTTCAAAAGTAGGAATAAAATGGTAAGGAAAATATCTCTGACAAATAAATCATTTATTAACCTTGGGAAGTTAGTATTCCCCAGAGACATGGCATTGCCATCTTGTGGTCAAGGCAGCCACTTTTCCTTCACCTTCTAAATTCTATTACAATGACATTGTCCAGGATTGGTGAATAGAAAAATGAGAATGCGTATCTTAAATCCATGTTTTACCAACAAATGACAGTTATCTGTTGTCTTGTAGATGAGTTTATTGAGGATATGATCATGAGGTATGAAATCATAATGCTGTTGCTGAATAAAGGTTTTTCTGAACTTCAACCTTTCCGTTACAGGAAAAACAAAATACATAAACAGCATTAAAAAGTCTAGTAATGCCTGGGAACCATACTAAACGCTAAGGGAGTTATTTCACTCTAGAGGAAGACTTCCGATCTTATGGTTTTAATACATCTAATACAGCAAACCTCTTTCAGCTGCAGGGAGTTTAGATTCTTTGCTGGACTTGATTCCACTTCCATGGGTTTTTGCCAAAGGAGGGTTCTTTCACTTCTATCAAGTGGTGCTACAGTGACACCTAGTAACTAGTTGGTTAATTACAGCTGATTTCTTCTGCCACCTCCTGCAGGTAGTAGAGTCTCTCTCTGGGGAATTAACTCCAGAAGTGAGAAATTCCTCCTCCAAAGCAAAATTTGCCTTTGGCACTAGCTTATTGCCTTTCATTGTGAAGAGGTTATCCAGTGTTAAGAGTCTAAGCCATGGAGAAACAGCCATTACTTGCTTATGCAGACACCCTCCTTAGAATACAAAATCATGCTTAGAATCATTTTAATTAGTTAGTGATATAGAAGCACTCCTAAAGACTCAAAGCTTAAAAGAAAGCAATGATATTTCATGTTGTTAAGTTCAGTGATTATTTTTCCTGTTGATGAAGAAAGGTATTCTAAAACATCCGTCTTTCTTCATTTACAGGTTCTGGCTCTGAGAAAAACAGATAAAACAGCTCATGACTTGGAATTCCACCAAGAAGCCTCTTATCTTGAATACCCTTTTCCATGTCTTTTATACCCCTTGTGTTTTCTCCTGCTTTACACCAAACTAAACAATTGTATGTATGTCATACAGTCCTTTCAGTAGTTCCAGTGATGTCTTTAAAAGTCCAAACACTGACCGGTAATTACTTTAAAAGAACATAGGTCAAGGTAACCAGTAGCAAAATCAACGTGGTGTTTCTATTGATTATGTCCTAAAATGGCCTAACCTAATTGGAAACACTTGGCTAGTAAGTTCTTTGTGTTTTTAACTTCTTTAATCTTTAAAATCACAAGCTACTGAGATGCCTGTGGTTCCTTTGCTGTGTGTTTTGAGCCACATATAATACTGACAGTCTGTGGTTTTGACGATTTCTCCTGATTAGAGCTTGAGCTTATGAGGTGATGTGATCAAATACACAGCTTACAACCAAAAGGTCCAAACCACACTTTTACATGTGTTGATTCGATACACATAGCAACAAACCATCCAAGTGCATTGCCTTCACCTTGACTGAGACAAATTTTCAGTAAAGTTCTTGAATTTACTTATGACTGTTCTCTTTCTTTGACAATTAGCATAGCTCAGACAAAGAGGGTCTTTCCTTTGCTTTAGAATGGGAAGAATAAAGGCAGAAGAAACCCATTTACTCAGATTTTGACTTGAATTAGAGGATAATACTGACATCCAAAGACACCGAGTTGAATCCATGTTAAGCAACTAGAAAATACTGCTGCTGTTTGGAAGGGAAGCTAGGAAAGAGACTGAAGGCTTCCGTATATAGCAAGAAGCATTTGCATCTTAGCAAAAGATTGATCAGTACAAATTTCCTTTAGGAAACCTTTTAACTTATTTTCTGCTTTGTACATGAACCTTCGGAATCCTTGTCTTGTTAACACTCTTCCTACCTTCTCAGGGCCAAATGAACTTAAAATGTATTACTTCATACATTATAATTCCTTTTACTGCAGATGATTAGAGGGTGTAATTTTGCAAGCTGTAAGCTACTTAGTTTCCCATATGCTGCTTGCTAAGACTGTCCTAGTTATTCTCTGTCACTGGAAATACGATCCACGTTCATGACTATGGTCCCTCGTCTCCGAGTTGGTCCTTATAAACTACATACTAACTGCGTGGATTAGAAGGTAATTATTAAACATGAACTATACTTTATTACATGACCAATAACAAGCTAGAGCGAAAAGGACCTAGTAGATTCTTGAATAAAATTACTTACTAAGCAGACACTGTATTCACAGAACATTGCATTCCTTCTTATCCAACAAAGATTAATAACTTCTGAGTCAGACTTATGGCTGGACTCTGGGAATGAGGAAACAAAGATCTTGTGGTTACTCATTTTGTACAAACTGGTTCTTTTCAGAGTAGCGGTTTTTACCATGGGCTGAAATAAAAACTGCTGCCAACTGCAGTTTTACTTTTAAAAGGTGGTGTCTGCTAGTCACAACCCATACACACTGTATGCATTCTGTGGCACTGAGGAATCCCCAGTCTTTGATGTGCTAGAGCTACTGAATGCTTTCTTTTTGCTGAACATTTAACACTAAATTCTGACCTTCAGAAACACTGCTCTGAATCTGCAGAGGACAGATGATTCAACTGTTGAATTCAGAACTGAATTTAGGCAGTTGACCAATTCAGAATTTATACCGGTTTGGCACCCTTCTTGACCTAGAATGAAAAAGAAAAAATCCCTCCAATTGCTTTAGAAGACCCAGCCTCATTTCTAAAAGTTTATTTGGTATTTTTCTGGCTTAAATCTTACTGAGCTTTGATGCTGTGTCAGATCTGAGTGGAAAAGAGCAGACTCAGCCCAGAACTCTGCTCACCCACTCACACTTTCAGTCCATGTTGCCTCCTGTAGCTTCTAGTCAAAACATCCGGCGTGTGTTCAGAAGAGCCAAGTATGGCATAACTGCTGCTGGACTGGGTGTCCTGTAAGGCTCCCAAATATATTTGAGCGCTTCCCCTCCCACATGATCTGGATCCTGGGACCATCTCAGTGCAGATCTAAAAGCGTTCAGTGCAGCTGGCGAACTAGTCCTAAGCTTAGGCCTGCTTTCAGCTGTCACTGCAAACTTGAGGGAATTAGCCTGTTGGGGCAGGATTCAGCTCACCTACCGGCAGACATGGTGCAGTGCAGACGAGCTGCCTCAGCCTCCTTTTTTAATCAATTGAGAGAAAAGCCCCCTTAGGTCACCATTCATCTGACCCAATTTAGACCGACTATAGAATTAATCATGCCCTGAGCTCCACTGAGTGTATCAAACAGAACTGACTGAAATGGGAGCCTAAGGCTATGTGAGCGGCCTAGATGACTCCACTTAGCAGACAAAGCCCACCCTGGAGTCTACGAGTCCATGCATATGGTAGAATACAGTGTCCTCTGCAAAGACCACTGCATTGCATTGCACTTTTTAGCATGGTATAAATTGCTCTCAAAATAAAACTGAAGTTTGACTTCAGAAACCTTACTGCTTGTCTGCAATCCAGGGGTTGGAGGGAAGCACACCTGCTGCTGACTAATTTTAGAGTGTCCTAGTTGCCAGCCTCAGAGGTGCCGCCTTCCCTTCTGTCTGATACATAAGTAGTCAGTAGGGAAATTAAAGGGGATTAAAATAACAAGGCCATTTAGTATCCTTCTCCAGATAAACCTAGGCTGAACCAGACATCATGGAATTTTCTAATGACTCCCTTAAAATGGATTCATTCCAGTTTAGAGACATAGATAAAAGGAGGAGACTCATTCCCATGAGAAAGGGCCTTTGGTTACTACAAACTACTATTTCCTCCAAAGGTTGCATTTATTTTAAATTAAAAAATAAATCACATTCTGAGCTGCACTGGTTAAAATCAGCAGTGCAAGTTTTGCTGGACTTCCTTTGAACAGAAACCGCCTACCTGAATTCAGGTCAGGTCAACCTGAAAACATTTACGGGTCCAGAATGAGGATGACTCAAATGTCCTTTCCCTCATTGCAGTGTAGTGTCTCTCAGAATTATTTCCACTGCTGTTTGCAATTAAACAGTATGGCCCTCTCTGACCCTCCTGCCAACTCATCAGCTTCTCTTTCACCTCTCATGTGAAGTGCTCTGAAAAAGAAAAAAAAAATCTGTCCCTTCAAAGACATTCTTAGAGCTTCTGCTCTTAAGAACCTGCCCTGTGTTTTTCGCCAGAGGAAACGACTACGTTCCTTCCTATGTCTACGGCTTAGATGGGCCCCAGAAAAACAAAATCTTGTGCTTCTGTGAAAGCTCACTGCAGACCCCTGGGTGTAAACCAAGGCAAAATTTGGTCCGTGCAGTACAAATGCTGATGAGCAGGAGTGGCTGTCAGGCGCAGCCAGTCGAGATTTTTCCTTTTGAAATTACTTCTTAGACACCACTCGTAATATAACTGGCAAGAGATGCCTGTACTGGTCCTCACCTCCACACCCCGGACAGATCCCAAAGGAATTCAGTCTGCAGCTGGTCAGAACCTTCTCTTGCATGAAACCGTCCATGTTCCATATCCAGCTCTTCAAAGCAGCCTGAGCTAGGAATTTGCTCGAGCTCTGCATGGGAAAGGGCAACAGGATCCTTCCTATTACCAGAGCTCAGGCCAAAAAGCTGCTGAGGGTTAAGAGCCTGCTCAGCTGCATTTCTGTGGTCAGCAAGCAGCATCCCTACAAAGCGGTATTGACGGAGAGTGCGCTATTGGAGACTGGACCATCAAACCGGCCCCTGAGCAGTTATGAGCTTTGCTTCATGGCTTTGGTTGCAACAATGCGACTCTATCAGACCTAACATGGAAAAGTTGCTTTTTTTAAAAGCTCACGGTCGATGCACCTTCACAGTGACAGTAAGGGGCTCCTTGCTAGAATAGGCCACCAGATTAGCAAACGAATGCCTGCCCTCCTGCTTTTTGAGCTTCGAAGCTAAACAAATGGCCTTATTGAGACAATAAAACAAACGGCCTTATTGAGACGATAAAACAAGCACGCTCTGTGTTCTTGCCGTTGACTAATGGAGACAACAGGAGGTATTTTTATATGCTTAGTTCTCCCTTGACCCTAAAGCTCTTCTCACCATCTCAAATCAACTAATAAACCAATCAATTCATTATTAAACTGCTCCAGTGTGGCTGCTCCTCACTAGCTAGTGGGCAGTGTTGTACTGACTACATCGGCGAAGCTGCAGGCCTTTGGTGTCTGTGCTCGAGAGACTTGGCACTGAAGATAGCAGCATTCCCCTGTTTCTCTGTATGTAAAATAATTGCCTTGCAATGGCCACAGCTTTTCTGAGAAAGAAACAACCCAAACCAGCCAGCATACTCACGGGACACAACAAAGTGATGCGCAGCAATTAATACAACACCCATGTCCCTCACCTGGGCAGTCTTTATGTCACCCCTGGACAGGGACATGTCCCTGTTAGGGACACAGGGAAAGACAAGTCTTGTGTGCCCCAGAGAAATTTTAAAAAGAAAGGAAGAAAATAAGTGGGGAAGGAAATTTTATTTCCAAGCTTCTAAAAGGATCTTACAAACCACAGAG